CACGCAACCAGCATCTGACATATTTAAGATACCAATTGTAACATTTAATCCAAATTCAAATACAAGTCCTTTTTTCTACATTTAATCAAAACACCTGTTTCGATAAAAAACCTATCATCTTGCAATAACATGAACATAAACATATTACACTAGTTCTAGCTTTCGTCTTTAGGCCCACAATATTCATCAATCTGCCATCAACTAGGTTTTCTAAAAATTGACTTACATTCTTTTCATAGACTAAAAATTTTTACACTTAGTTTATTTTGCGCATATGTCTAACATTAAACATTATAGTTCATAATATTGCAAGAATTTGCATGAAGCGGGCATTATTACTGTAGGTATTCTGTATATGGGTTTGAAAATGTATGTAAATTGAAGAATTAGTATTTTTATATTTATGTTTATATCAATTGCCATTAGAACAAAAGGTATTTAATAGTACTTAAATGTCAGTAACCAATTGGTTAAGTATTAACTAAGTATAAGATGAAAAATATTAGTTTTATTATTGTATGCATTGTGTTAATATCATTTTACTCTCCCATCAGGTAAGTAAGACGTGTAACGCAAATATTATAGAAAATTCAAATAGAAGTTGATTTTCGCAGTTTGCAAAATGGTGTACCATTGATAAATGTAATATTTAATTTTCAGTTAATAAGTGCAACTTTGCAATTGATTGTAATTTGGGCTGCAATCTATAAAGATACATCGTTTTGCAAACCATAAAATTGTTATGCGATTTTTTGGAATCGATATGTTAAAGAACTAGAATTTTATGTAATAAGCAATTTTATTGGTCAATTTGAATTGATATTTATATATATATATATGGTTAATGCTTTCCTCTGACTTGATTGACCCAAGATTATTTTTCCAGAGATTTAAAAAAATCAACACCCATGAAAAATTGTCGTATAAATTGTGTTGTTTAAATGTCCCCAACACGTACGCATCTATGTTGAAGTGGTTGTCAAGACATTTGCCTAAATTAAATAAGAAAATTCTAAACAACATGTGAAACTCATCATCATATTTAACATCATTAAGTTGATCATATCGTCTTTACGCCATGTGGTGAATATAAAGTGAGGAAGATGATCGGCCCCAAGTCGCATCCCAGACCTAGGTAAAAGGTATTCTTCAATTTTTATCTCGTTGAGTTGAACAACAAGGAAATGGTTTGCTTTCGGTAAAAGGTAGGATGAATTGGGACGAGAAGTTTCTTAATAATGGTTTTTAAAATTAATTGTTCAGAACAATCTCAATTTAACCGTGGAATAGTGTCGTAAATAATGTCAATATTATAAACAGGTTTTTGATTTATCGGCAAAACTAATAATCCTGCTCGGAAGAAAATCGATACCAGTATATCTTACGGCTAAAATTATTATGTAGTCGAATCTCATTGTTTGGTATAGGATCTCGTCCGATATTAATGGATTGATGCGGGTCTACCATTGGCCATTCATAATTGTCTAATGATTGTGTGTGTGTGCATTGGGGATTGTGCCGAATCTCATTACTGTAAGGATTGATAAACCACTGATTAGTGGTTGGTGGATCAAACCCTTCACGGCGTTGTGTTTTCCATCCTGTCCCTCGCCGAAGAATGTGATGCCGTGAAAAGATTTCATGATCACTACTAACAATTTGGTGTTGGTTCTTGCATTGTTGTCTAATGCCTGGAGCATTATGAGGCCCTGACTCACCCCATGTTTCCAATGAACCACAATCACCACACATAATAACACCGTTCTCAGAATTAAGAATTAATTGTTGTTCTTGTTCAGTAAAACCGAAAATCCTTTGACCAGCGCATTGTTGTTCATAATCATGATGTGTTAGATTACTACGACATTCTTGATGATTTATCCCTTCATTTAGGTGGTGTAAGTGACATGCTAAGTCTGGGAATTGATCATTATACATCTCACGTCGAGCAATCTTTAAACAAAATTGTCCATTATGTGTACCTCCAGCGCATAAGGCCAGGAGGACATATAGTATATCTGAAGGTAAGTTGTGAGCCGGGGAATTGTGTATACATATCAATATGATCAGTCGTCTGAGCGTTGGGTTTCCCTGACTAAGTACATAGCTGGGAAAAGCCAACTCTCGATCAAGTGCGTCCTCATTTGTCCCGTTTGGAGAGACCACGGTGGTCAATGCTACAGGGTAAATGAAATCAACCCATGCTTTGAAATTATCTGGTAACCAGGAGTCCAATAATGTTTCTGCGTTTCTGGTAGTCTCATTTATCTCATTGTTTGCTGGTCGCATGTTTCCAAAGGCCTGTTGATCCAATCGACTCAAACTTGCTCGTAATGTCCGGCTTCCGAACCAAATGCCCATGAATTGATCAATTTCATCAATTAATTGGTAATCGGTTGGTGCACGCAGTTTATTAATCGAAACTGCATTAAAGGGGTCATGGAAATTAGTAACTATAGGTTTAGTTTCATCACCTTCTTCCATCATAAAGAAACGGTAGGGTGTTCAGAAAATCGGTAAATCAAACCATAATCAGGGTTATATACGTATTTAGGATTTTTTATCGGCTTTTTAATAATTTCGGAAATTTCGTAAAATTAGCTTCATATAAATTATTTAATGCAACCTACGTACGTACGTACGTATCAACAAAATACATCGGTTTAACCGATTGAGAATTTACCTAGTTGGTTCACCCGAATTGTTCCGGATCTGTTCGGTTAGCCGATTACGGCAAACCGGTTAAATCACTATCAGTTGACACGTGAATTTGATTTATACCGAAAATATGCGTTACACGGATACAGTACACGGATACACAGATACAACGTACGTACGTACGTACGACTAACGATCTCAGTTAAATTTCTTGCATAATGGTAAGGTAAAATGAGATACCCTTCTTTCACAATGGTTATAGTGAGTAGAAACCGATGATGTCACGCTCAGATGGGTTAGAAAAATACTCTGAATGGTTAAAAAAGGAAGTGGAAAATGGTAATATATCCTTTTATAATTATTCACTGTTCAGGGATATTGAAGCTATTGGAAGCGGTATGATTTTCTAATTATTTAGTACATTCTTTATCTAATACAAATAACAAAATTTTTTAACTTTCAATCGTTAAAATTCATAAAGGCGGGTTTGGACTTATTAGTTCGGCTGACTATGATGGAGAAAAAGTCGCATTGAAAAACCTCAAAACCAAAGAAGCAACTAAAGACTTCGTTAATGAAGTAATGAATTTTTAGTTGTCTCACAGTTTATGTCCACATCTAATAAGTCATAATCTTATTATAGCTTAAACAACTACGTGCTATTAAATTTCATCGTAATATTAATCAATTCCATGGGATTACAACAGGTACTGTTAATAATACATATTATATGCATAATATTCCTTAAATTCCCTAAATAATATTTCTACTGTGATTTCATATAATTTTAGATCCTGAAACAGGACATCTCATATTAGTATTGCAGTTTGCCAATGGAGGGACTCTGCGGCAATATTTGCAGAACAAATGGCATGAGAATGCTTTTACAATTAAAATAACCGAAATTATGGAAATTGCGAAACAAGTTACTCTCGGATTAATGCGTTTACATGAGGATGATATAATTCATTGTGATTTAGTAAGTATAAGTTTCTAATAGTCGACTTATAATTTATTGTAAATTATTTTAGTTAATAATTCAGTAATTTATTTAGCATCCTAAAAATATCTTAATAAATGATAACAAATTCTTAATTGCTGATTTTGGTTTAGCAAAAAAGGCCAATGACAGCTTAATTTCTTCATTCACAACTTCGCACGGCGCACCAGCATACATAGATCCGGTATGCCATCAGTCTGGATATATACGTGATAAAAAATCGGATGTTTATAGCTTAGGTGTAGTATTTTGGGAGCTTACGAGTGGAATTG